TGTGTGTGTGTGTATAACGCATAACTCATGAACCGATACACGGAAAAACACCAAATTTCAAACTTAAGCTTTGTTCCAGCGTCTAATGAGCTGATTAGATTATGGGCAGAGTCGGAACATCTGGGGGGGGGGTACTTTATAGGTGGTCATTTTTATTTTTTATGGAATATATCTGTTATTTATGTTTGGGGAAGAAAATTCTTTAAATGAAAGTTACTTCTTATTTTATTATCTATAATTTTTGTTATATACAAAATTTTCCTAAAATGGTCCGTATTCGCGAAATTTGACAATATGTAAAAAAATATTTTTTTTTATAAAAATTGTTCAAACAAAAGTTGTTTGTAATATAATTCTCTATAATTTTTATCATATTGATAATTTTTCTAAAATGGACCGTATTCGAGATATTTGAGAAAATGTGTAAATTTCGAAATTTGAAGAAAACTCAAAAACGGATAAAGAAAAAAACATTAAATTTTTAACTTAAGTTTTATTTCGGCCTGACGTGAATTGAATAGATTTTGGACAAAGTCGGAACATCTGGGGGGGTACTTTATGGGAGGCCGTTTTTATATTTTATGGAATATATCTGTTATTTATGTTTGGAGAAAAAAATTGTTCAAATAAAAGTTACTTCTAATATTATTATCTATAATTTTTGCTTTATGTAAAAATTTCCTGAAATGGTCCGTATTCGAAAAATTTGACAAAATGTGCAAAATTCTGATTTTTATGAAAATTGTTGAAATAAAAGTTGTTTGCGATATCGATCTCTATAATATTTGTTCATACATGATTTTTTTAAAATGGACCGTATTGGAAAAATTGTAGGAAAAGTGCTAAATATCTATAGAAAAATGTTTCGCGGTAGATGTATGTGGACAATGTATATATTTAGTTTATCCTCTAAACATTTATAGAGATGCTGCAATAGGTTGTACAAAATAACCGGAAAAAGCCTGTAATAACTAGATAGGCAAGTCATGTGTTGGACACATCAGATTTTTAAAATAATTTCAAATTCAAATATTATGCATAAAACTACCAAAGAAGCTAACACAGGGGATTTCTAAAAATATCAAATATTTATACTTAAAAAAATCTCGTACAAGTCCAGGGCTTGTCTCATTTTAACCTATTAAAAAGGAGTTTAAAATTGAAAAATTGGAATATTAATCAACTTTGTTCTTTTATATGAATTATTGTTAAATGAATATTTAGACAGTCAATATTCACTGAATCAAATAAAATCACCGTTTCAACAGCAGTAATCAGGGACTGACAATTAACTTTTCGTGCGGATAATCATGGTCCTTCAGAAAGCGGTGTGAACTTGGCCGCCAAAGGCTAGCGGCCAATTTCCCGAAGATGCCCGAAAGATTAGTAGCGTTTTTAAAAAAGTTAAAAATCGGTACATATGTAAACAATAATAACTATAAATGATTTGAAACAAGTCTTATTTCCTTGAAAGGGGTGGTCTAATACGGTTCAAAGAGGGTAGCAGCCCTTTTTGAATTATTGAAAAAAGCTATTTGGTACAGATGGGAAAAAGTTAACAATTTACAAATTGGTATACAACTAGATAATAATAATAGAAACATTTTAAGTGTAGTCTGATTTCGTTACAAGGGCTCTAAGCTGATTTAATGGGGTAGCAACCCATTTTGAAATATTGGAAAAAGCTATTTGGTACAGAAAGAAAAAAGTTAAAACTTTAAAAATCGGTATACAACTAGATAATCATAATGACAACATTTTAAGACTAGTCTGATTTCCTTATAAGGGGTCTAAGTTGGTTTAATGGGGTAGCAGCCTTTTTTGAAATATTGGAAAAAGCTATTTGGTACAGAAGGGAAAAAGTTAACACTTTAATTTAAAAATCGCTATACAACTAGATAATAATATTACAAATATTTTAAAACTAGTCTGATTTCTTTAGGAGGGGTATAAGTTGGTTCAAAGGGGTAGCAGCCCTTTTGAAATTATTAAACCAACTTAGACTTCTTGTACGGAAATCAGACTAGTCTTAAAATGTTTCTAATATTATTATCTAGTTGTATAACGATTTTTAAAGTGTTAACTTTTTCCGTTCTGTACCAAATAGCTTCTCCCAATATTTCAAAAATGAAATCAGACTAGTCTCAAATTGTTTTTTATATTATTATCTAGATGTATACTGACTTTTAAAATGTGAACTTTTTTCCTTCTGTACTAAATAGCTTTTTCCAATATTTCAAAAAGGGCTGCTACCCCATTAAATCAACTTTGACCACTCATAAGGAAATCAGACTAGTCTTAAAATATTTCTAATATTATTATCTAGTTTTATACCGAATTTTAAAGTGTTAACTGTTTCTCTTCTGTAGCAAATAGATTTTTTCCAATATTTCAAAAAGGGCTGCTACCCCATTAAATCAACTTTGACCACTCATAAGGAAATCAGACTAGTCTTAAAATATTTCTAATATTATTATCTAGTTTTATACCGAATTTTAAAGTGTTAACTGTTTCTCTTCTGTAGCAAATAGATTTTTTCCAATATTTCAAAAAGGGCGGCTACACTTAGACCCCTCTCAAGGAAATAAGACTTGTCTCAAATTGTTTATAGTTATTATTTTTACTTGTATACCGATTTTTAAAGTTTCAACCTTTTTTAAAGACGCTACTGATCTTTCGGGCGTCTTTGAGAAATTGGCCGCTAGCTTTTAGCTGCCAAGTTTATACCGGTTCTTCAGAAAAACATTGTCTTTTATTTAACGTACAATCCGAAGGCACTTCTTGAGGTATTTTTAAAAGCCCCGACCAAAGTGCCTTTAGCGGTTTGCACTATATTTCTGATCATTTTTATTCTTCTATGACCTTTGATAGAAACATTGTAGCAGCGATTTCTATTTATGTTGTGTTTATAGAAACATGTTATTAAGTTCATGTCTATTTGTTTCTGAAATAAATAAATTGTTTGTGTAGGCACATAGAGTCTTCAATTGACCGCTACCTAATTGACCGGTTAAATTCTGGCAAAATATCTAAAATAAACCAAAATATTTTAAGTATAAAAGATAAACCCTGTCGACTACAGGATTTTTTTTAATTTTGACATATAAAGTGACAGTTTTTATAATCGCAGCAAGTATCAAAATGATTTTTTTACGCAACCAGTTGCATAATGTTGATCATTATGAAACTGGTTTCTAAAAATTCATTACACACCAATTGCAAAAATAAAACAAAAATAAACCTTTTTTGGTTTTAAAATCAATAATATACGTTATTATTGAAAGTATATATCAAAGAAAGGCAGGTTGATTCATAAAAATATAATTTGGTTAAACTTACAACCTGGTAATGTTGTTTTGGTAATTATTTTCCCGTCCAAATCGGCACAAAATAATTAAAACACAATACACGGCAAAATAATTCACTTTTAGAAAACTAAATAACTTTAATAAATAATATAAAGTCGTTGAGATTAAATAATTAATAATGACGTTCTAATTGTGGTTTTAATTGTCAATAAAATTATGCAGATACAACTAACAATACAAGAAAGTAATATTGGTTTTCTAAATGTCAGTAATTTTTAACCAAAACGCAATCAGTTAAAATTAGAAAAATATTGCATGTAACACGTTACGGAAAGCTATTTTATGTAACTCGCTCATGTTGCGAGACCTCGTTCTGCTCGTCGCGCAAATATTCACTCGTTACATAAAATAAGACATTTCGCAACTGATTTCATAAATAGTTAAAATTGATAAGCTTGCAAACGCTTTCGACCTATAAAGTCATTTTCTGACAAATTAAGTGATTTTTTCTACACTTGTATTATAATAATGCACTTATATGCCCATAATTCGTTTTATAATGATACCCATTATGATACATATTTTTCATAACGATACAAATTTTTAATCAATAGAAACCCATAATTTTTCAATCAAGCATGCTGTGCATTTGACGTTTGTTCTAGGTTCCTATGTAATTGTTTTAGTTGTCAAAATCAGTACGTATTAAATTTTCGTAGATAGCTATACTTCGATAATTATATTATCAAAATGTCTAATATCAGCGATATAGAAGACTTACCATCGACTCCTCCACATATATCGGAGAAAGCAGAAAATGCAGTACAAAATATTTTGCCCAAAAAATCTATGGAAATACCAATACCCGAGGTAATACCATTAATTACAATTTTGTAGAATTTTTCATAGAAATACGAGTAATTACTATTATTGTGTTCAATACAAATATAATATTTATAGTTCTTGATTATTTATCGGGTGTAGAAAAAATAGCGTATGCAACTCTCATGTAATGGTTATTACATGATTGTTACGTAAAATGCTATTATTTAATTTGAATATCAATATTATAGCATTTCTGAATTGCGAGCACTGATACAAGGGCCTTTTCAGCTTTTTTTTAAAGGTTCATCGATTCCAATAATGTTTATCTCTAGAGAGAGCCATGGCATGCATCTTCAGTTTTTTAACCTTTGCCTCGACATATGAAATAATTCTTTTTTAAATATAAAACCTACATTTGACATTTAAAAGTTTCAAACTAAACAAATAACAAATGAAAATGGTTACCATGGTAACGTAATCTATCCTCTCTTTTTATCCACTTGTATTTCTGTTTCTTCTTCCTTCCTATTTAGCTGAGAACAAACTATGAATTTTTCGTTAACAAATTGTGTTTTTACTTATGAGTGAAATTGTCACTTCTTATTAATCACAAAATTAAGTCAATTCTATTGGTTGAAAGCAGCGTCACGTGGCATATGAATTCATGGAAATAAATACAATTTTGTTCAAAACTTAAAAATATTTTAATTTTTAAATGTTCCTGTAATTTTGCATTTCTGAAATATGCTAGTCGATTATTTTTTATATAGGTAAGACTAATCATAAAAAATATATAGAAAATTAGGTACATTCGTCAATAAATAAAAAAAGATGCATTATAAATGCTTACATGCTGAACTCACTGACCATGGCCTTGATGATCGTAATCAGGATGAGGAGTAAAAAATTTCACTAGAATGTCTGATCCGGCCCAAGCAACGGCAGCCTTCACATCTTTGCTGGCAGATTTGATCATCACTTCACATTAAAATTGAAAAAAAACAATGCACGAAAATTCTCAACCGATCGCGCCAAAGTTTTCAACAAAAAAAATACGCGGCGCGAACAAGTCCCGATTCCACAATTGTGTAATTATAATTATTATTTGTAAAGCTCGATTTTTGTCCGTCTCGTGCGTCCGTAAAGTTCGTGCGAGATTCGCGTGTGTGGCTTTTTTAATGAAGAGTTAGTAAATGTGCTAAATATATATTTGCACCGGTTTTATCTTGTTTGGCGTTAGTACTTTTAAGAAATTAGTTTGACAACGTTCCAATAATGATGGGAAAAACGGGTTGGCGCGCACATCATAGGTTTGTTACATTTAATTGAACAGGGTGGTCAACGAAAACCGATAATGATGAGTGATAACGATATCAATAATACGACAAAAATTACTATATTTTTAACCACTGTTGCCAATTTATCTGTCAATGTCAAATTAAATGGGATGATGATTAATGATGAAGAAGATTTCTACGGATACGAAGAAAGAAAATAAAATAATTTCTTTATTCTTCCGACTTATACCTCCAAAAGGTTGAGACATAGATTAACTATATAGACTCCAGAGATAATAAGATTTAATACACTTACATAGAGGGAAACGGTACAAAGAATAACTTTAGAATCTCTGATTAAAAATAAGACGATTAAACGAAACATTCTTAGATAAAATCTTACTAGTTTCCGAAATACAGTGTTAAAGTTGAAAATTCAAAAATTAATAATGGCTATAATTTTTTTTTATTTCTCAGTATAATTTTACTAAATTCGGCAAACATTTTTGGTGTCTCAGATACATTAGATATACAAGGTGTTCGATAAGTACGGTACATAACTTCGTATTCTGGAGCTAAAATAAAGGTATTTTTGTCATATACACTATGTCTCAAAAATGCTTCGTTACGGAAATACAGGGTGTGAAAGTTTCATAAAAAAAAAATACAATTTTTTAAATATTTCCAAAACCACTTAAGAAATTATTAATTTTCATAATGAACATTTATGGGCTGAAGAGAATCCTCATGAAATAAGAGAAAGTCGCTTTCAGCAAACATTTTCACTAAATGTATGGATAGGGATTATTGATAACCATCTTATTGGACCATACTTTCTACCCCCTCGACTGAATGGTGATTCGTATACTCAGTTTTTACACGAAGAACTAAATTGTCTGCGGAAAAAGTGCCTCTGCAAGTAAGAGGAGATTTATGATTTATGCACGATAGTTCACCAGCCCATTTTAGCCTTTTTGCTCGTCAATACCTCCACAACACTTTTCCTAATCGCTGGATTGGACGTGGAGGTCTTCAAGCTTGCCACCTCGCAGTCCCGATCTTAATCCCTAGGACTTTTATTTTTGGGGTCACCTTAAATCACTCGTGTATGAGACACCTGTATTGATTGAAAATATTTAAGAAATCGAATAATTCAAAGTTGTAATACCATAAGAAATACTTCAGGAGTTTTTGAAAGAGTAAGACAATCAATGAGGAGACGATTGGAATCATGCGTTTTATCAGAAGGTGGCCATTTTCAACATTTGCTTCGATTCTTTGTTATAAGTGATTATTTATGATTGTTATTTGTAGTTAAATATTAAAAAAAATAAAAATGGCTCTATAATTATTCTTTTGAAAAAAGTCAAGGGACCTTTTTTCTTCCAAATCGAACAATCAAAAAACTAAATATTGAAAAAGAACAGCGGCGTAACACGTTTTTATTTCCATATTTTTCAGCTATCACCTTGTCCGCACGCCACTGTATTTACAGTAAAACACGCAACGTTGCTAACTCTCAAAAACTGCAAAAATTTAATTAAAATATCTCAAGTGGTTTTGGAAATATTTAAAAAATTGTATTTTTTTTATAAAATTTTCACACCCTGTATTTCCGTAACGAAGCATTTTTGAGACATAGTGTATGACAAAAATACCTTTATTTTAGCTCCAGAATAAGCTTCTGAAGTTATGTACCGTACTTATCGAACACCCTGTACATATTTTGAACTACTAATCTAAAGGAAAATTAAGTACTTCGTCACAATGTAGAGGATTCAGGTATTCAAAGACGTGCAAAATTGTTAGTTTTAATTTTTTCCTCGAAAATCAGGATACAAAAAAACTTCACTTAGATAACAAAATGTTGTATTTTTAGTTATTAGAGTTTATTAAAAAAAAAAATATGAAAAATTCAAAAAATCTGCTGTGTGATATTTTTTGTACCAAAAACTAATCTAAATGCACTATGAGCATGCCTATAGAATAACTGGATCATCTGTATCATGTCCGTAATCTTGTCAACAAACAGTGAAAATTTTATTAAAATTAGTCAAAATCCTTCTTAAATATTAATAAAAAAAAATTTAATTAACTGCACATCAAAAAGGAAACAAAATTGACAATGTTTTATTGGACAAACTACCTTTATTTTTCCATAAACTATGAGGTGGTAAAATCCTGGCGTTATACACTGGACCACTCTGTACCTACCTATATCTACTATGAATTACAAAGTGTGTACCACTATAAAATAACTTATTTTAACAGCCTAATATCGACGTATAGTTTTCTCTAATAGTCCAATTAAATAGACCTTTAAATCAAAATTTTGGAGGAAATACAGGAATTTTTGATATAAGTTACTTTAGAGTATTTGAAAACGATGTGTGAAAAAATTTTGTCTTTCAGGCACCGGCAAGCAAAAAATCAAGTAACCTAGTTATTTTTTAATATTAATTTCTCAATAAATTCCACGGTAACCTATATATTTTATTGTAAAAAACAAAACCTAAATATTTCAAAAACCTTATTTTTAGTTTTTTTTTACTCTGTCTAATCAATAAATAATAGTATACTTAATTATAATTCGAAAATTGTTGTTGAAGTCTTACTTTCTCGTAAGACACTATACAAATACTTACATTTAAAAAAAAAATTCTCAAAAATTTGCACGGTAAGGTATAGTTAAAAGTTCACTATTAGATAATTAAGGACTTCAACTAATAGAAAAAAATTAATTTTAGTCATAATCTAATATTTTTTATTTAACATTGGTGGCGAAAGGACCCCCTTAATTGACTGTAACGTTTGTTTAATTTATTAACAGTTTATTTAAAACACTTCATTTACAATTTAGTGTTAACGTAACAGGTAGTTTAACTAGGTAAATAACAAATAGAAGTTTTGCGAGGTTTTGATTTTCCTCAACAACTTCTCATGAACGTTGCATTTACGTTGTATAGTAATGTTATTACGTTCCCTTAGTGCAACATCGCCGAAAGGCTTGGCAACGTTATGTGCTAGCTGGGATTTATTTATTACAATTTATCTTTTTTGTCCAACACTTAAATTAAATCTTTCTCCTATCGGCAAACTCGCGCTATTTATACAAAGCCAGCCAGCTCTGTATCAGTCGTTTCTAGACGATCTCGAATGTCCGTGAATTCCCTCTCTATGACTCAACGGCCATGTACCCCTTTTTCTGGTAGTTCCTCGAAGCTGTGCGTTTCTCTATATGGCCAGCGCTAGACTTCACACTAAGGGCAAGGAGTAAACAAGGAACACACGGCTCTCTGTCACATAACCTTTGATGTAATCGAAATTCGGTTCTGAAATATTAAATGTAATAGATGTATCTACATTATAAATGTTTTGTACTTTATTATAATTTTCTTTATTTTCCAGTAACTCTTCAATCAAAATTTCTCCAATTATGTCATAAAACATCATTATCGGTTCCGTTAAAAATTAAAGGCGAATTTTAACATCCTTCAAAATTGTTATTAGAGGACTATTTTAAAGGAATCCGTTTAAATAATGACAGAAGTAAGTTAGTGAATACGAAAATATTTTTAAAGGCCGCCAATATCTTAACGGCCGTTAAAATATAAAGGAAATGTTACAGAATAGACCCCTTAGGGGTCTATTCTGTAAAAATTCCTTTATATTTAACGGCCTTTAAAAATATTTTCTTCTTTAATTCGGTCACTATTTAAACGGTTCTTTAAAATACATTAGAGGACTATCTTAAAGAAATGTTTAAATAATGACAGAAGTAAATTAACGAATACAAATATACTTTTAAAGGCCGCCAATATTTTTAAAGGCCGCCAATATTTTTAAAGGCCGTTAAATATAAAGGAATTGTTAGAGAATAGACCCCTTATACTGTTAAAATGGGTGACTTTATAGTGGGATACCCTGAACCTATATTATGATCCAAAAGATCTTTTGTTTTTAAGTCTGTTTTATTTTAGTGCCGAAATTTACTATGGCTCTTAAAAACAGGCACACATCAAAACCTGCTTTGTTAAAAATATCCGAAAAACTGTCGTAAAAATATTTGTCGTTCGCAGTAATTATGCATTTCTTTTGGAATATTTCCAATATTTAGACCACAACATACCTATATCTGTCTATACCTTCCTTCGTATATATTTTTAGTAATTACAAGTAAACACAAAAAGTACTAACAAATTCAATATAAACTTTTGAAAATAAAAATATATTGGTACAGGGTGTTTTGAAAATAAAAATATATAGGTACAGGACGTTAGTATATTCCAAGGGTGGCCAACTTTTCTGTATATAAGATCTACTGTTTAACTTAAAAGTGAATCACGATCGGCTTGTTGTAATAGACGTAGTCTAAGGGGGAAGAAGGGATGTGAAATGCATACTTTGTTTATACACTGTGTTTCAGTATAAGGTGTATTCCAGCGAGGTATGGGTAGATAAGTAAAATATATGTTCAAAGCTATTTTTAATTTTTTAAATATTTCATTGTTTTCGGGATATAAGTCCATGAAGAAAATAAAATTTCAGACCCAACTTTTGATAGCAGCATCCCGTACATGCGGTACCTAAAATAATCGATTTTGTGGCACTTTTTCAAGATAGATTTTGACTAACTTAAAATCCAATTTAATTTTTGTATCAACTGCAATGTATAAGTTTTTTTATTTTACAACTTTTTTTACCTAAGAGTGTTTTTATTTTACTATTTTTTTACCAGATTAGGTAAGTACATTTATTTTACTGTTGTTTATTCTGTTATTTTCAAGTTTAAATACATTTTTATAAAACAAAATGTATATTTTTTTAATCAAGAACTGGGTTGGCTCAGTGGTTAGAGTCATGACTTTGAGATCGAAAGGTCCCAGGATCGAATCCCACCGTTGGCCGGGATTTTTTCATTTAATTTAATTATTTAAAATTAATTCTGATGCCTTGGT